AAACCGCCAATCTCTCTAATAAAGAAAATATCTAAAGGCACTAAAAGACTGCTTAAAAACTAACATTGTGGAATACGAACGAGATTTAGACAAGAAATATTTCTACTGTTCGAAATTCTCCTAGGGGGTGTGAAGAAGTAGATATTGACAAATTATTAAAAAACAAAATGAGGCAAATCGTATTTATTAGACGATACAATGCCAGTAGAAAACGTGTTGAAGCAAAGAAAGTAATAATTTTGAACAACTCTAATACAATAACATTGTATTCGTGGTAATGTGTCATTATTCCTGGTTGTGTTGTATACAATTCAGGACCAGAGTAGAAAACTATTAGAAGTTGGAATTAAATCTTTTAAAAAAACCTTTATTAAACACGGAAATTACGAAATTGGCCCAACGTAAAAAAAAATATGATAGGTGAACCGAGTGCAAATTCCGGCTGAAGTATAAGTGTATTCGGAAAATAATTACGTTTTACTACAAAAGGATATAAAATAAATTAAATTAAAATTTTCTTTTAAGCAATTCACCCCAAGAAAGGCGATAATGTCACTAAGACACAAAGTGCTACTGGGAATGAAAGAGAATGTAACAATTTTAAAAGAAACCGGAAACCCAAACATAAACAAGAAACAAGGAATAAACTTTTACTCCTATTCAAAACACCGGGAAGAATGTGAACCAGGCGATATTTATCAAAAATGAATCACATTCATTTTCAAAAATTGCAGCATGAGATTTTCGCTACTATTTTTCTTTTTCAACTTCAGAATTACGTTGAACCAAGAATTTTTAATCTCGAGTTCAAAATTCTTCAAATGTTAATCAAGTCTGTATTTTTACAGTTTATATATATTATAAACTAGCATCATGGCCCGGCGTTGCCCGTGCTTGATTCAAAAATCGTACGACTCATACAGCAATCGCTATCACTTGACTTAAAATATTTTTGCCCTTACTTGCCTTTAAAGGAGTGCCCTTTGCCGTGCTGATGTTGCTACATGCCTTACTTCTTGTCTGCGAATTTTTCTATACTAAACATTAAATCTGTTATGAAATAAGAACTAAACAAAATGAACACAAAACGATCAGCTTTAAAAAAAAGGACTTGTAACTGGAAAAACCGAATGAAAAAAGAATGTTAACAGCAAATACTTTTTTACACCCACCCAGTTCTGCGGAATCAGAATCAACGTTGAGTTTAAGCAAGCGAATGAGCCAATTGGAGTAAAGTGCCATGCACATTTTAAATTTTTCCCACTTGTGACGAATACAGCTATCGATTTTTTTTTGTATGCTAGCATGCTAGTTAACATTCGTGTCAGTCAGCTGTTGGCTCTCATGCTGGCCAATGGAATCTCCCTGCCTATTCGTGGCAGCCAGCTATAGGCTCTCACTCTGGCCGGTAGAAAATGGCCGCAAACTACATGAAAACTGCCGTAGAAGCATGAAAAAATCGATTATTTCCACTATCGATGGGAGTTGGGAAAGGCAACGACAGTCTTGGCCTTCATGCTAACTTGGAGCATGTGCATGTAAATTTTGGTGAAAATCCGTCGAAAATTGCAGCCGTGCATTCGTTACACACACAGACACACACACACACACACACAAACACACATACACATCCTGCCTTTTATAGATAGAGATGGGAGTTTCTTAGACATTACATAAAAAGAATAAGCTGTAAAGAACCCTCTTTGACATTTTATTCTTAGAATAAAAAAAGGAGAAAATACTAAAAGACTGAAATTCTTGTCGTGACGTGGTCATACTTCTTCCTAAAATTAATCAGCAATATTGTCGTAGGTAGAAATCTACGTGACCAAATCAAAAACACAATACAAAGATGTACGGGCCAAAATGCAAAACGACAAATGGCTTTCAGTGTATACTAATAGGGAACACATTTATATACATTTATGTACACATTCGGATAGAGTGGAATGTAACTTCGCTAAAGCAATATAACAACAATGTAAACAATGTAATTTTAAAGAAAGTCTTTAGACAACAAATCTGTACTTGTCTCTTTAGATGAGCGGGAGAAAAAAAACAACATACTTTCGTTATTACTATTCTGCTGTTATCAATTCTACTTAACTGGCTTACATCTGATCCGTCTTCAGTTGACTTAACACGTAAATATCCAATCAAAATACTCCATCAGTCCTTAGGTAAGTAATATATTTTTTTACTTTGGTCATATATTCCGAATCCAGGAGGAATGGCAATTCACACACATAAACATATACACCAAAATACATATATATATATATATATATATATGTATGTATGTATGTATGTAAGGGGGATAGTTAGTATAATGATACAAGAAAGTCAAAGTGATAAAAGAAAGATAAACTTGGTGATATAAAATTAGTATGTAATATTCTATAATAGATGCGTGTACGGTGTAAACTATGAACTTTTCTACTTTATAGTCAATAATCTGTGATGAATTGTAGCAATATATTGATTTTTTCTTATGAAACTTGAGTGTAGAAGATGATGAAATTCAAAATGAAAATGTTAGCACAATAAGCCACACTTTCTTGTTTGTACATTTTAGAAAACATCGCCTCATATTTGTATGTTTATGTTTTAGTCGTTTATGTTTATATATTTGCATTTAAAATGTTTTTGATACAAGTATACGTAGGTATATCAATAATTCTCTTAATGTAAGAGAATGCACCAGGAGGCAAATAGTCCACATCAAAGATGGCTGAATTCGTAATAAGTTCGCAAAAAGACAAAAGCTTTGAAAAAGAGATTCAATATACCGAAAGATTGATTCGAAACAAACAAATATATAACAGATTTTTTTTTTTGTAAAATAACATTTTTATTCATTTTCTCATATATAAATTGCCAGCTGTTTTATGGATGTAAAGCCAAGAATAAAAATGAAAGAGAAAATTATCAAAATTATCAATCTATTACTGATAGATAGATAGATAGATAGATAGATAGATAGATAGATAGATAGATAGATAGAACATGAATACTGTTGTGTTTCGTGTCGTCTCAATTCTTCAGATTCCAAAACTAGATCATAGAATGCATCAACGAAGGACAGGTTTTATTTTATGAGGAACAGTAGTTGTAGCATCCTAGGTGGAAACAAGAGAAATAAGATAGAAAGGACTGCTTTGATAAACTTTCAACGCCACGTGCTGGCTTGCCTCTACGGAATCTTTGTGCGGAAGGCATCTTGATTCTTTTAACTCTTACAGCCGCTTCGGCGTCTTTGGGGCTTTTTTGTTTTATATCAAAACTTAAACAAAGGCTATACATCATTGTCAGAATTCCAAGGGTTTCAAGCAATCTTCACTCAGTTTATGCCATCAGCGTTCCAACCAGTAGTTTGCCATTCTGTGCCAGCCTACGCATGCCGTAAAAATACACACGCATAAACGTTAATGTCGTTAATAAAAAATGTATATGTTAACCAAAAATCCAAGAATCTAATAATACTAGCATGAAAGCTTTTGTCTGTATTGAAGTATATGTCTAAAGAATTGATGGACTTTTATTTATGAATTAGATGTAACACCCCCTTGCAACAAGGTCATTGGTATCAAATAATGTAACACCTTTCGCCACCGCCTACACATTGGTGGTCCATCTCTCGGGATCTTAGGACGACGTGTTAACCACGGGCTAACTCTGGTCCAATCTGGTCGTTTGTTACTGGACGCTTCGACTGACAACGCTTTTACCCACGTGTTCTTGACCTCAGAGCAGTAAAAGATCGAATGTCGTCGCAATGGCAGGGCTGGTTCAAACCGTGGCAGGTGCTATATTAAGGAAGAAAAATATCTTAATATAAAAAATAAAACGTGAGATTCGTAGGGTTAATTTTCATTTGGTTTATATAGCTCTTCGTACAATAATAATTAACCCTTCCCGTATCAATCTCTCTAGGGTCACTGGGCTTTGTCTAAATTTTTGGAAGGCTGGGATCAAAGTCTTGGAATCCGGAATTCTGGTGGCAGCTGACGTGGATTCCAGAGCCACTAGCTACGACTTCTCACTCCAAGTCTATGAGCTCCCCAAAGTCATCTGCTTTGGCTCAAAGCTAGTGTGGGGCTTCTTGGAATTCGTTGATTCTTTAATTTTCACGTTAATTCTAATAAAGGCTTTCTTTATTCCCTACTTCTTTCTTAATCAACTTTGAAATTTGGAAAATTATCCATCTTCCTTGGAATTAGTCACGGGGATTTCTTGTCCCTTAACTCCAACCTTCATCACTTCACTCCTCGCACCGCTACTCTGCACAGGCGGGGCTAAGCTCTGCTTCTACCTCCTTCTTTCTCGGTATTCTAACTGAGCCCACTTCTCAAGGCGCATAACGGTCTTTGTGACAAATCTAATTTTTTAAATTAGAAAGGGCCGTATTTCATTCTCCTCATTAATTTCAATTCTCTGACTCTTTTTGCACAAACCGGAACACCTTCTTAACATATGACTGATATTCATAACGTCGACTCTAAGAAAAAGCTTTTGTTCCTTGTTTTTCTTTTCGCCAACGAAAATTATTCTCATTTTTTTATCTTTCCGTTAATAATGTTTTCCTAATTTCTCTACAAAGATATAAACTTATTTTCCAGTTTATTTTCCTCAATGAAAATACATTTGTTTACTTAAATTATCAACAAAGAGACTTTCTGTTTTCCATTCCCAGATCGATCACCGTTTTAGTGAAAATACAGGCCAGTTCTCCTGCCTGTTATGACGGGTCGATTTTATAATCTTAACCTTCGCAGTGGGTTCGTTCTCTGTTTTCATTTCTCGATTCGTTTTCGCTAGCAAAAATATAATTATCAATTGTTTTTCTGTTCGCCAGCGACATGTGTTTTCTTACTTTCCCAAGAAAGAGATAAAATTGTTCCCCAAATCTGTTTTCGTCCGCATACCAGGATCACGATAGATAAGAAATAATAAATTTTAGGAGAGAAGAAATCCACACGTTCCCATTATCACCAAGGAAAATGTCTCCACTCTCTCTCTCTCTCTCTCTCTCTCTCTCTCTCTCTCTCTCTCTCTATCTATCTATCTATCTATCTATCGCTATCTTTATCTCCCAGTCTATATTAACCCTTTTTTCCTGCTTAGAATTAATTTTTAACCACCTCAAAGACTCAGCATCACACTGGCATATTTTTATTACTTCAAAAGTTATTTTAGTGGATACTCGTATATGGATATCCACTGAAAATAATAATTGAAATAATAAAAACATGCTAAATTAATAAAATAAAATCCATAAATTCTTTAGAAATTGAGTTGTGTATGTTTCGGGCGGCTTTCGAGAAAATCTAAAAGATTGAATGTGATTTAAATCCAAATAGGACCTTGCTTGATCGTGAAGCTTTTCGAGTGGTCAAAGCACCCAACCAGAAACGAGAAGGTTGTCTCGACTGCAGAGAGGAATCCTGCAGAATGACATATTTTTCATTAAGTTTTTCTCGAATGCGCAAATAAACGGAACGTCTACCCAAATACAGGTATCCACTAAAAATAACTTTTGAAGTAATTGAAGAAAATACAAACTTTTTGCCTTCACTAATAAATCAATTTAATAATCGGGAAATCAATTTTTACACATGACATTTAAGCTAATGGTAATAGTAATGATGAGAACAACCGTTTTCATACATAAAACATTCGGTATTTTGACTATCTTTTGGAAAATTGGCATTTACTTGTTCCCATGAACTCAGACGTGAATAGGCATTACGTTGAATAAAATAAAATATATTATCTGAGAAAGTGTCCACCCCTGAAAAAATAAAACTCTTTGACTGGAAATAATGAAATGGTAGAAATAGAATTACAAGAATTCAGCATTGAATATCTTGTACGTCTCAAATGAAGGTAACTAGCAGACTTATTAGCAAATGAAACTCTTTTATTATTCGTTGATAAGTTTCTTCCTATATCTTTGTTCGATTGTATTTCAAACGAGATACTGATACTAATTCCAGATACTAATTCCGTAAACAAATTTCTTTATCGATTAGGCTAATTGGACGAAGAAGAATATTTTTTTTCTTTGTCTTTTTCCAACTCTCTTTCATCTTTCTCTCATTTCTCTCTCTCTCTTACTTTTGATACCTCCCCCCCTATCTCTCTTTATCTTCCCCCTTACTTTTCCTCTCTCCTTCCACTCTCCTTTCTTTCCTCTTCCCATTTCCATTTCTCTCTTTTTTCTCTCACTCCATATATCTCTCATTCCCTCTCCCTTTCTCTCACTGTTTTATGATGTTCCACCTAACTCTTATTAATCCACAAATGTTTGCATAACGTTTATATATAGATGTGTGTGTGTGTGTGTGTGTGTGTGTGTGATAGTTATTTTCATATAGAGTATATATGTAAAGGAACAAAATGAATAAAAATCAAGACATTTGCCTTGATAAAGTCCTTCATAGGACGAAACGCTTTAGCTAAGAATAGTGCTTCGGCTTCCCTTTTTATTCATATATATATATATATATATATATATATATATATATATATATATATATATATATACCGGGTGTAACAGCAAAATTTTACAAACCGTGTAAAAGCAAGATTGTTCAATAGTTAGATTACGCTTTGAACCGTTGCCTCTTAGAAATGATTAAAGATATATTACTGGAATTCTCGAGATTTTTATAACACAGTTGGACTCTACTTTGAACAATAAGAATGTATTTATCTATAAGTTAAAATGATAACCCTGCTTTCTGTTGTGACCTCCCGATCCAGTTTTCCTCTCTACTGTTCCCTCTTTTTTCAAACCTATTCAACGTTCTCTTGATGGTTCTTGAATGACTTTGAAGATGGGAGCCAGCGTATGAGTGTTGGTATCATTCAGTCCTGGATGATCTTTTTTCTCTCAACATTGCTTAGTTGGGAAGACACAGTGGAGCTGAGCCAAAATAATTTCAACCTGATCTCTTTCTAGCTGAATAACTCAAAATGTCAATTCAATGATTCTTACGAAAAATTGTGTAAAGATGGCTAAACGTCTTATCTGAAAACATGGAGAAACGAAACTCAATTATTTTAGTTTTTTTTTTTTTTTTAGATTTTGTGAAACGGTCAATTATCCCATGATGTTAAATGATTTGAATATTTTTTGCTCTTTCGTCCGGCATATATATATATATATATATATATATATATATATATATATGCATAAGTACATATACGTAAAACCATGCATATTCATTTTTCTACTAATATTAAATAACGGAATAATGTTATATAAAACGCAAAAATTGATTATATCTGCCTCAACAGCAATCTTTTCCCATGACTCCAGTGAAATCTATTTAAAGATCGTTTGAATAAATTAACAAAGATATTGCTTTACCAAAATATAATTTCATCACAGAATTATTACGGCGGTAGAAAGACATTTATATTGACGTCAGACTTCCTATTAGTCGCGATAAGTGTTACATTTTTTAATACTCGATGTAGCTATAGTTGTAGTTGTATAATTTCCGTAAGAAAAACTATAGAAATTTATTTTTTCGTGTTCCACTAAAAAGACCAAGATAAGGAATAGTCGCTCAAATATTTTTTCTATTACCTAAGAAAAGATTGTTTTCAAATAACTGCAAATTTTTTCAAGTTTACTTTTTATATGAATATACAAATGAATAAAATAGACTTTCTTACGGGGAAACATGTTCTCGCTTTTGGAACTCTCTTTCTGCTTCTTGCTTCCCAGTCAACTTTAAACGCAATGCCAATCGTTATCTTCTATCTTCTTAATTCCTGTTCTTTTATTGATCTCTCACTTTAATAGTATTTTCTCATATCCTATTACACTTATGGGCGTTTTCAAATTGATGTCCGTTATGATCCAGACATTACTGACAACGCGACGCAATCAAATCACAAGTGAAAAATGTTCCATCACCCTTTCTTCCTTCATGGGTCGTGGTTGATGTCCATTGTGTTCCAGAATAGTTCTTGTACACATCGTGTACAGTCCCATTAGGTTCAAAGTTAACTCTAATTCGTGAGATTGTAAGCCACGTGCGTGGATGTAAATGAAACTCTCTTCAATAACGTCTTTGAACTTGAACTGCATTTTCGTACCTCCAGTAACATTCCACGATGTAATATTCCTTTGTTCAAAGCTAAACCTGGAGGACATTAGTAATAGGAATGGGTAAATCTGAAAAGAAAGCAAGTTAATTTGTAAAACTGTGAACACATTTTTGAGACACCATATATATATATATATATATATATATATATATATATATATATATATATATATATACAGTAAAATTACTGTTCAGTACTCTACTGTACAATATAAAGATTCATAAATAAATTAGAAAGATTACAAATGACTCACAAATAACATTAAATTTATCCGAAGCCGGTTGGCACAAATCCATTAGACACGTAGCATGCCTGAAATAGCGGTCAGGTAAAACTTTTCATTTAACGATCCTCTCGCTTAGCGACAATGTCGTTGAAACGTAACTTGGTCGTTAAATGAGAAGCGTCTGTATAATAAACAATAAAAATTTCTAGATTTGTTCTAAGTTTATTTTTATTATTTCCACCCTATGAGAGGAACAAACTTCTTCAGGTGTTATTAAGGTTCTAAGTATATAATATTGAAATGTATAATCAATAAGTCCAGACCAGGTTTAAGTCAACAATAAAATATGCTTTTGTTGCCTGCCTGTCATTTCAGACAAGAAGTTGGTCTATATGAATCAATAAAAAATATCGTGTTCCATCAGGGCTTAAGTGACGATTACTTTCCACATATACCTTTTTCTTTATTGCTTGTAAATCGCCATGCCTTCTGGGTAAAGATCGTGAAATATTTTCCTTTTGCCTTCTCCACAGTTTAGTGTTTTCATTCTCTTAGATGGAATCAATCAAGACTAGAATATCTGGTCTATCGTGCTATTTCTCCAAGAGTATGTGTTTGAAAGTGAATTCAGAGCGACAGGCTGGTATTCGAAATCTGCTCGCCGATTTCACTATCAGCGCCGATAACAGCTGCGCTACCTGAACATCGATTAATCACCCACGCAGGACAATTCTGCTTATAAATCAAAGCCAATTAACATTAATGGACATCTTAAATTTTGAGAAATCCGAATATCGGTAAAGGAATTAGGAAGCAATTATCTGTGCTTCCGTATGTTCCGTATCATTTTTATATCGATTCGAACAGTGTCGCGAGATATGATCAATCACCAATCAATAAAGACTGGCGCTGTAGTGTATATTCTTGTGAAACGGTTTATGTCAAATGGCACGAAATAACCACGGCGAAAACGGTTCATGCTTTTAGCCTCTTGTTAATGACGATTAAGAACCTTTTACTGTTAAAAGAGGAAATTTTTTTTTAATTATATTTTAAGGATTACAATCTTTGCTGTTAATTTTCACATCTATTTTCGTCTTTTTTATCACCGTATGTGATTTTTTACAATAGCACTTCTGAAAATTATAATTATAATAATAATGTAAAAGAAATAAGAATAAGGTAGAAAATAAATAATATAAAAAATAAGAATAAGGTAAAAAAAAAATACATCTCTTTTGGGAATTAGAAAATCCCAGATATATTTTTCAACCTATCCATCTTTCTATTTTTCTGAAAATATCTACAGTCATACGTGTGCATTTTCTATCGCAGTGCCTTTCTAATGGAAAGCAAGCCATACATTACATTTAAATCTTTATCTGTTCGTTTAAAAACATACTTTCTTTAACGCAGATAAAATGTAAAACGAACTTCTCCCCGAAAGTGGTAACTCTTATTTGATTATCTTGACCAACAATGTCAGAGGCAGATGCTGGCGGTATGACATTAAAGAATGTATTTTGCCACCAATAACACATAATTAACTACGTTAAAATTTTTACAGTTAGCAGTCAATCATCAATATCGCAAAAGTACCCTCAGTACTTATTTATACACAAATTTTGAAAAGACACGCCTTCTGATGAAGGGATAATAAAATACACTATAAAAGTTTTGAATTGAATATGAAAAGGAGGTCAATAATTACAGACCTGGAGAACGACGTTTTTCAGATTGTATTT